GCAGGGGGGAGGGCAGGAAGGGGCGGCTTTGTCTGGGGCCTTTCTTCCTCTTAATGGGCAGTTTCAAATGTGTGGGAGGCTCTCTATGAGATCTCCATACAGAGGTGGACTTTCTCCTATGCTAATATTGTGTCTTATTCAAAAACACCCCATGCTCTATGTTGTGTGCAAATCATGCTTCCATTTTACATTCTCTCTTTGACATAGAGATTAAATCTACAAGACTGCATTAAATAAACTAGAACATTTTCTCTCATTTTTATACCTTTTATCACTGGAGCTTACTTTTGTATTTGCCTCATTCAACCATATAGTTGTGGGTGTGTATTATATATTTTCTCCCCTGCATGTAAATTCATTTTTATATTAAGAAGTTTATATTGTTATTACAACAAAATTTCTTTGAGATTGTATGATTTTATCTAATCTAAGACACAGTTTTAGAGAAAATGGTTGTAGTTCTTAAGACTACAAGTATTAGGAAGAGGAAGTAAGATGTGAAGTTGTGGAAATTATCTTCAGCTTCCAGCTTGCTTTACAAAGGTTTAAAATATCCTTTCTTCCATAACTCAATCTAGCAAACTTTTGACCCCCTCCTTTTCATGTACAGTCAGCATCTAATAAATCATAGCAATAATAATTCTTAGATAGGATCAATAATGCCACTGGTTACACATCAGGATTCTAATGGAATCTTAATATTAATAAGCAAGCACCTTAGGCAGTAGTATTACTATTTAAACAAACAGGGAAGAATACTCTTTATGATAAAGACCTGAGCTTCTTGTGTTATTACTACAGTAGATTTAAAGAGCAAAGATCTGTTTGAAACAGTGCACCCAGAGGTAGATAATCCATCAGCCCAGAACTAGTGCTGTTCTTAATCATTTACATGTTGTCTCAAAGGCATATTACATTATAATCCCAAACCACAAATCTCTGAGGGCTCCATTCATAAAACAGAAAGCACCATGTACAGTACATAGGATTTCCTGTTGACTAAGAATGTAATGTTTCTGAGTAAGAATTAGAGCTGCAGTGAGCTGCTCATTAGAGATTTGAACTCTGGTGTACAAATCCCTTTAGGCTTGCTTGGAAAAGCCTGTGAAGTCCCTGCCATTGGTTAGTTAGGCTCAGGATTAAATGCAGGTTTGAAAGCTGCCAGTATATATAGTTATATTTGAAGACTCTGTAGTTCTATCTGTTTATCTCAGAACAGAAGTAGCATTTCCTTTTCAAAGTGCTTAATTGTTTTGTATTTTTTCCCTGAGATTTCTCTGCTGATTTTAAATTAATTAATCTTTCTTTGGAATAGCAACCTTGGAAAGCCTTATGGAAAGAAACAGGTCTTACTAATTAAAAAAGTATTTCCAAATCCTCATTGCCTTGGAAATAGCATACATTTATTACACTTCCTTCATTTACCACTGTACTTGGGAAGGAGGAACAAGAAGAATAGAAATAATACCATCAGTACCCATTCCACAGAACTTAGTACTGACTTGATCTCCTAAATCAAGCAATACATAAGCTTTTTTCTATTTTCTCCTTGGATAGAGTTACCTGGTTTCAAAGCAGAGCTGGAAAATGAGCCAATCCCATGAAGTATTTTGAACACCTTCCAGGGTATTTCACTTTTTAATTTTAGTTAAAACCCAATCAAAAATTATCTGAATTTATAGCAGCAAAACAATCCGCTGTGAATGTGGAAAATTTCCTTGAGGATTTATTAGAGTGTGCACACATCGTCATTAACAGATAATAATCAATGTGTAAGAATATTGTTAAAATAAACAGTTTCAGAAAGCATGTTCATTGCATAAGCAATCATAACAAAAGAATTATTGGCCTGTTTTCCTGCTCTGTTACAGAAGGAAAGTGCAGGGAACTATTCAGAGTAGTTTCCTCCTGCAGAGGGAAATTACTTGGTGGTGTACCTACCACTGACATCATGGGTATAAACCATCCCAATCTCACCCAATGTTCTTCTTGGTGCAGGGTGCGCTGTGATCAGGTTATTATATTTAATGTATTCTACCTACTACTGGATGACGGGACTGCTTCTGGGATCACAGGCAACTAGACATATATTAGAGCAGTTTCAATGTTACTCTAACTTATGCCAAGGGCTGAGCTAGCTCCATATCTGAGGTTATGGTCAAAAGTTGGGTCAAATTATCTTTGCATCTTTTCCTCTTGGGTCCTGCACCAGACATAACTCAGTTGGACCTGAGAATTGAAACTCATATAGCTATATTGTGACAGTTCTTATATTTGGAGCCCATAATTTTATAGAGTTTCTCGATATTAACAGTGAATTAATGTAAAACATAGCACTGCCAAGAAATTGATAAAAATAAAAATTGGTTACCCTCCCTTAGAGATATGAATCATGGGGATGGAAAGAACAAGGAAATGTAAACCTTGTAAGTTTCCCTCATAGGAAAGGTATAGTCCATAAAGCAGGCAGAAGAAATGGCATCCTAAGTCTGTGAGGCCATAGAATAGAGGAGAATACTGAGTCTTCACTGTTAGTCCTACCTCCTTTCAGCTCTGACAACTTGGCTCCTGCAAAATATACTTTTGCACTACTTTGATCCTAGAGTTACTTTCCACTGGTCTAGTTAGAATCATAGAATCTTAGAGCTGGAAGAGACCTCAGGACGTCATCAAGTCCAGCCCCCTGCCCAAGGCAGGACCAATCCCAACTAAATCAACCCACCCAGGGCTGTCGTCAAACTGAGACTTAAAAACCTCTAAGGATGGAGATTCCACCACCTTCCTAGGTTACCTATGCCAGTACTTTACCACCCTCCTAGTGAAATAGTTTTCTTAATATCCAACATAGACCTTCCCCACTGTAACTTGAGGCCATTGCTCCTTGTTCTGCCATCCATCACTACTGTGAACAGCCTTTCTCCATCCTTTTTGGAACCTCTGTTCAGGAAGCTGAAGGCTGCTATCAAATCCCCCCTTACTCTTCTCTTCTGCAGACTAAACAAACCCAAATCCTTTAGTCTCTCCTCAAATGTCATGTGCTCCATCCCCCTAATAATTTTGGTTGCCCTCCGCTGTACCCTCTCCAATGCGTCCACATCCTTTCTATAGTGGAGGGCCCAGAACTGGACATAAATCTCCAGATGTGGCCTCACCAGAGCCAAATAAAGGGGAATAATCACTTCTCTAGATCTGCTGGCAATGCTCCTCCTAATGCAACCTAATATGCCGTTTGCCTTCTTGGCTATAAGGGCACACTGTTGACTCATATCCAGCTTCTCATCCACTGTAATCCCCAGGTCCTTTTCTGCTGAACTGCTACTTAGTCAGTCGATCCCCAGCCTGTAACAATACTTGGGATTCCTCCATCCCAAGTACAGGACTCCTTGTTGAACCTCATAGATTTAAACCTCCGCACTTATCCTTGTTGAACCTCATAGATTTCTGTTGGACCAATCCTCTAATCTGTCTAGGTCACTCTGTATCCTACCCCTGCCCTCCAGAGTATGTACCTCTCCCCCTACCCTAGTGTCATCTGCAAACTTGCTGAGGGTACAATCCATCCCCTCATCCAAGTCATTAAAAAAAAATATTTAACAAAACCGGTTGTAGAACCGATCCTTGGGGCACTCCACTAGAAATCGACCGCCAACCTGACATTGAGCCGTTGATCACTACCCGTTGGACCCAACATTCTAGCCAGCTTTCTATCCATCTTACAGTCCATTTATCCAATCCATACTCCCTTAACTTGCTGGCAAGAATATTGTGGGAAACCGTATCAAAAGTTCCCCATGTAGATGTTAGATTGGCTTGAAATTTGCCTATGGCTTCTATGCTAGGCTTGGGAGGAATGGGTGAGTAGGTACTACATTGCACTGAGGGCACTGTCCTGTATCTGGTTGAGCTGTAGGGGAGCAATCCACAGCTAGCATGACAGAGCCCAAGATTTGGTTCCCTGACTTCAGAGGGAATTTTGGATACACACATAATGCAAGAAGAATTGGGCCAAAATATATCTGGTACATTATTCAGCATGAAAGAGGTTAATATTTTCATGTGTATAGCCATGTGCTTGAACTATTTTTACTTCACTCTACTCACATTGTGCATTGTCACGTACTCTTTTAAAAAATCCACACATTTATCACCCCACACATAAAAAATAGTTGAAGATTGTAACTGAACTGACCATAGAGGCCGCAAGGCTTCTGCTATACCTTCTCCTTCTTAGAGCTCCTATTATTGCCTGATCACTGTCAATCTTCTCACACACAGTGGTGCCCGATTACAGATGAAATGGTTTGTTAAACTTTACAGCACTTAGAAATGTTCTTGAAGCACCGAAAGATGTCTTATTTAGAATGGAACATATAATACCTGCCAAATTTGCAGGTTTGAAACCATTTCCAATAAGAATTAAAAAGGCCCTCTTCCCATCTGAAATAGGGCTATCAATACTTGACTTGTCTGCCCACGTGAAATAGAGGGTTCTTGTCTTTGATGTCGCAATTTAGTTTAAAATAGCTTTTATGATGACAGGGTACATAGGAATGATAAAACCATAAAGATGACAGTCTAATCTTCTAAGATGACCCGTCACTGATAAAAGATTAAGTAACGCGACATTTCAAATACTAGATTATCTGTCTGTTGGAGCAGTGTCTGTATACACCTCCTGCTGAGCCTTGCTGAGATACCACTGACATGTGAAGCTCTTGCTTCTTACAAACTAAAAATGCTGCACAGAATTCTTCAAAATATCAGGTTAAAAGAAAAGAAAAGAAAAGAAAAGTCATGATCTGTAAGTTTTGTTAATCAAACATTTGTTTTCCAGGCCAGCAAAGCATTTAGAAATAATTTAGAAACTATATTATTGAGTCTAAAATAGTCAGTCCTGCCCTATAGTTACTCACAAAAAGACTGTCAATAATTTAGTGATTATTAAACACCTTTTATTATCAGTTTTATTCACAATAATAAAAAAGAACAATTATACTTACAAGAATTATTAGACATGCTGGTCCTATAAAACTCCATATAAAGTTATTCTTTGTGCTGAGCCAACATCTGAAAAGTAAACAGCACAGGATCTCTTGAAAATGTGCCCAACTCTTACACACACTTTCTTAGCATTCTTACACCATATTACCCATTGAAACAGACATGAAAAACAGCAACTTACACTTCCGTAGTTCCGTAATATTTATATCCCAGTGCTGCAGAAATTCCAACCACGACTGCTGGACTCACATAACCAAAGATATAGAAGTTCTTGTGTAAGAAGCCCTTGTTGTAGATGACTCCTACAACTATAAGGTATAGGTGTATGCCTTCAATGCACATCCATGCGAAGGCAGCTAAAAGGAAATAATGGAGCAATCCAGCAGTGATTGAACAGAAGAGCTAGAAAGTCAACCAGAGAAAGCAAAGTCATAAATAGTGATTCATTAATGTATTACTATTGCAGTATATGACCTGTGGCTCTGTTAATTAATAATTATGCAAAATGGATATTCTCACAATCCAAATTTAATCAGGACTCGGGCTGTTGACCTAAACACAAAACTAAATCTCTTCATTATTGTTCTATAACAAACTAAAATAAAGAAAGAGAGGGGTAGCTGTGTTAGTCTGAATCTGCAAAAGCGGCGAGGAGTCCTGTGGCACCTTATAGACTAACCGAAGTGTTGGAGCATAGGTTTCATGGGCAAAGACCCGCTTCGTCAGATGCATGTCAATTATACTTGTCATGCATCTGATGAAGTGGGTCTTTGCCCACGAAACCTGTGCTCCAACACTTCGGTTAGTCTATAAGGTGCCCCTGGACTCCTTGCTGCTTTTGTAAAATAAAGAAAATGTATCTAACTTTTTAAAATCAAGCTGTGGCTATGTCTGTGTGTCGCTTCTCACAACCTCACATCTATAAATGGACATTCAACCTCCAATTAGAGATGACTAGTCTAGATGTTGTGCTGAATTAGTCAAGATGCATTTCTTTAGATACCAAAATTAAATTGCCTGGCAAATCATCATTTAAAGTTCTATTTTAAAGTGTATGGGCATTCTGCAGTTATCTCAATACTTTAAGTGGTGACAAAAGTTGGGTGCCACTAATGGTGTAACATTAAGGAGACAGCAAGTGAAGAAAAAGTCAGTCTAGAGAGATGGCTCAGGTCTAAGCAGATTGCAAAGACCCTAGTGAATAAATTCAAGAGCCCACTCTCCTAAGAAAGAAAGGGATATGTTATTTGGCACATCTATAAATAGATATTCAACCTCCAATCAGAGCTGACTAGTCTAGATGTTGTGTTGAATTTGTCAAGATGCATTTCTTTAGATACCAAAATTAAATTGCCTGGCAAATCGTAATTTAAAGTTCTATTTTAAAATGTATGGGCATTCTTTTTGTAAATAATTCTTGTAAAATCACTCTCTTTAGTCAATCAATACTGTAGAGCTTGTGCAGCAGTTTCAAATGATATTTTTCAATCAATTTAAAATACCATTCTGCAATACTTGAGAAAAGGGAAGATGCTTTTTTAAGATATTGTCCATTATTAAAGTTATTTCGGACTAATTAAAAATCATGTACAGCTGAAAATTTCAAGATGCTAGAGAGGGTTTTTTATGTCACCTACATAGATTAGAATGGGATTACTGCATCACCCTCTTTCTATCGAGACTCATCTACCTCTGGTTTGGTACACAACCAAAAAATTAAGGCAGGAGTTGTGGAATACCACATTCACTTGACTCCACAGGATAATTTAGATATACAGACTATATGTAGCAGAACTACAATCTTCCAGGAAAGGTCAACATCCTTTCATTTCTGGAACAGTGTTGTGAGGTCTTAAGTGACAGCGAAAGGTCACGTTTAGATTTTATTTGATAGCTGGCACCTCTAACAGTGCAGTGTCCTTAACATAAGGCTGGGACTTTAGGAATGATTCTGAGGGAACATTGCCATTCATTGATTCATCAGCATTTGCTTTGAACAACACTTAAATGCTTAGTTGATGAGACTGTTAAATGTTAAAACATTAGAGTTGTAAAATAGTTAAAATACCAAACACGTTGAGGCCAAGTTCTCAGATAGTGTAAACTAGCAAAGCACCATTAAATTCAATGGAGTTCTATCCATTTACACCAGCTGAGAATGTGGCACCATTTCTTTAACTAAAGAATGCACAGAAAAAACACTTTGTATTCACTTTAAGTACTGTGGGGAGTAGGAAGTCAATAGCACTAGAACATTCATATTAACATCAGAAAATGCTGCATGCTATATGGAAAATGGTACTTTATACTGTATATTTACTTTGCAAATGTAAAAATCAAGGAGTGACAAAGGTTACGCACCTTATTATTGTTCATATTAATTCCAACAAGAAAGATAAGTTCTGCCAGGAAAAGGCTGCAGCAGAGATTTTTGTGAATTGTTGTTCTAGTGCTTTGAATTTCACTGAAGAACCAGAAGGTAAAAATGCACATAGAGAGGCAAATCAATGAAATAATTATTCCTAGTTGAGTGATTCTTGTAAGAATGTTATAATTTGTAACGCCCTGGGGGAAAATTATAATATAATAGTTAAGAGAATAACTCTGTACCTTATCAAAAAACCTTCATTCTGTAACATAGTTCCTTTTACCTTTTCGCAAAACATACATCAAAACTGTTTGTAGGGTTGCAGTGCAAATGCATGCTTCTGATAATTTCAAAAGTATTGTTTTTTGTGAGGCAGATATAATATTAAGGGAAACCAACAGTAAAATACATATTTCAATGTTCTTAACACCAGTGATGTGTTATTTCTTTGTGTAATATTTTAGCATTGGTATGTGCTAACATGGCTTTTAAAAATGATCTAGCATTGCTATTTGCTAATATGACTTTAAAAATCTGATCTATTACTAAATGACAAATATATTGACCATGACATGACGTGACATGAAAACATTACCACATTGGTGTCTTATTCATATTTGCCTATATAGCATAAGGGTATCACTTCAATTTAAACATGAGCAATGAAAGACTTAGAAATCAGAATTGCTTAAAACATATGTTAGTTCCAGATACATAGCATGGAAATGGTCTAAGATATCATGGGCTATTTTAAATGATTATGTGCACAAACTTTCTGTGAAGGACAGTTCCATTGGTTACTTGGTATTCAGCAAAAAGAACCTCTGAAATACGTGACTGCATAAGGGCAGGCTGTGCCTGGCCATAAAGTCTACCTAAGCATGAATGCTAAATACAAGCCTAGAGATTATCCACTTAAAAAAAAAAACTCCATAAAGACATCTCAAAAGTCTTAAATTTGAACGGACTTAAGAAGCCTTTTGGCAGCTACGAAGCACCCTCCATCATATGAAGTGCACTGTATGGAAAAATTGTCTTAGCACAAAGTACTCATGCTAATGCTCTTCTTATTGCCAATTCTGGTGCCTAGAAAGCTGCCTCCTCAGGCTAAAACCTAGGCTCCTGTGTGTCCTATATGGATTCCAAAAAAATTGAGGGTTCTTTTAATGTAAGTGGGGTACAAAGTGAAGAGTCATTTTCACAATTCTGTGATAATTATGAGGGTCCCTGTTTTAATGCTCATGCATTCATGAACTCAGTCCTGTCTGGATCTTTCTATACAATTTTCAGACAATTCAATCTGCAACTCAGGGAATACATTTAAAGGAGACATTCCAGATGGTAAGACATACACATGACAAAAAACATCGTGAGAAAAATCCCAGGCCACATGGTTGCTGACCACTTCAGATAGCAGTTAAATCCCATTGTAGCCTTGAAGTGGGTTTTAAAATAATAATAATAAAAGAACAGGCTGTAGGTTTGGAGCAAAATTCTTTGCTGCATCGCTATCCCGTCATATCACAAAATGGACAAAAAAGAAACTCAGACAGAAAAGAGAGGAAATGTGTTTGTCCTGTTCATGATAAATTGTGTGTTTGCTGAATGAAGAAAAAAAAAAAAAGAGAGCTGGAACCAAGTGTGTGTGGGGAGAAGTATATTAGTAGCATTGAAAAAAACAACAACATTAAATGAGGATGTAAGTATCTGGTAAAACACTAAGTGAAAAATAGCACTTACAACAGAGCCGCCTGAAGACATCAAAACAGCAAAATGAGTCAGATGATTACATTTGCATGAGGTATGAGTAGTGTTAGAATGCGTCAGCTCACAGCCTTCTGTAGACCAGTTCCCATTCATTGTGTCTGTTGAGTAGTTCCAAAATGCACATTTAATATCCTTATCTGCAGTCTGGAAGAGAAATAAGATGTTTTGCTGATGGTGAAAGGCAGGAAATTTTCCATCAAGAGACTCTTGTTACATTAGCCAGAACAATTCATTAAAACTGTATTTTACTGAAGGAAGATTCAGGAAGAAAAACAAAAACAAAAGAAAAAAAGACATAACCCTCCCCCCCCAATCCAAAACCCAAACCTTCAGAACAGAAAACAAAACACAGAAACAAACAAAAAACACTGCACAGCCTATCCCATGCAATTAAAAAAATAGATTTAATTTCAAGATTGAAATATTCCATCCACCTAGTTAACAGCAGACCAAATAATTAACAAACTTTCCTGGTATTTACAAAAGTGTCAGACTCTTGTATGTGGTACATGCACCTATTAAAATGGAACAATTACCAACATTACAGATACATTGCTGCTCCTGTGCTACCCAGTACAATGACCTTTTCATTTTTGCAGCATGGGTTTTTTCTGTTGTCACCCCGAGTACATTGGCATGTGTAAAGCAACCAGAGATGCCTCAATCTACACGTTATATGAACTAGAGAAGGACTTTAAGATCAGCTCACAACTCAAATTACCTTGTGCTGCAACAGTCACATAATGAGGAGAAAACAAATTTGTCCTATGCATTTCATAAATCCAGCCAGAAGATCATTGGAAAGAGGAGGGAGCCAGGAATTAGTGGGCAGTTAAGGCCATTTCTGGTTCAACATCAGAGCACTGACATTCAATATGATGCTGGCAATTGCCATGACCACTATTATTATTATTATTATTTGTATTGAATTCTTTGCATCAGTCTTCACAGCTGAGGATGTGAAGGAAATTTCTAAACTTGAGCCATTCTTTTTTAGGTGATAAATCTGAGGAACTGCGCCAGATTGAGGTGTCATTAAAGGAGGGTTTATAACAAATTAAACAGTAATAAGTCCCTAGGACCAGATGTTATTCACCCAAGAGTTTTGAATGAACTGAAATGTGAAATTGCACAACTACTAACTGTTGTTTGCACACAATCATTTAAATCTGCTTCTCACCCAATAAATAACTGGAATATAACTTATTTCATGACAGTTTTTAAAAAGGGCTCTAGAGGCGATCCTAGAAATTACAGGTTGGTAAGACTAAGTTAGCAGGTAAACTAGTTAAAACTATAGTAAAGAACAATATTGTCAGACATATAGATGAACATAATATGTTGTGGAAATGTCAATATGTAAAGAAAAATCATGCCTCACCAGTCTACTAGAATTCTTTGACAAGGTCCTCACTGAAGGCTCTTAACCAAAGTAAGGTGCCATGGGATGAGAGAGAAGGTCTTGTCATGGACCAGTAACTGATAAGAAGTTAAAAGATAGGAAGCAAATGGTAGCTATAACTAGTAAGTTCTCAAAATGGACACAGGTAAAAAGTGGTGTCCCCCAATGGCCTGTTCTGGGACCAGTCCTACTCCACATAGTCACAACTGATCTGGAAAAGGGGCAAACTGAGCTAGCAAGATTTGCAGATAATACAAAAGTATTCAAGATAGTTAAGTCCCAGGCAAACTGTGAAGAGCTACAGAAGGATCTCTCAAAACTGGGTAACCGGGCACCAAAATGGCACATGAGATTTCATTTTGATAAATGCAAAGTAATGCACATTGGAAAAAATAATCCCAACTACACATATAAAATAATGGGATCTAAATTAGCTGTTACCAGTCAAGAGAGAGATCTTGCAGTCATTGTGGATAGTTCTCTGAAAACATCCACTCAGTATGTAGTGGCAATCAAAAAAATGAACAGAATGCTGGAAATCATTAAGAAGAGTTATATAATAAGATAGAAAATATCATACTGCTTTTAGATAAATCCACGGTACATCCACATCTTGAATACTATGTGCAGACATGGTTGCCTCATCTAAAAAATATATATTGAAATTGAAAAAGGTTCATACAAAGGCAACAAAAATGATCAGTGGTATGGAATGAATTTGATACATTCATGGAAAATAGCTCCATCGATGGCTATTAACTGGGATGGGTAAGGATGGCGTCCATACCTTGTCCGCCAGAAGTTGGGAAGAGCATCAGGGAATGGATCACTTGATGATTATCTGTTCTGTTCATTCCGTGGGGCACCTGGCATTGACCATTGTCAAAGAACAGGATACTGAGCTAGATGGACCTTTGGTCTGATCCAGTATGGCTGTTCTTATGTTCTTATTGTGGAATGGATTTGGCATGCAAGTCCCAAAGACTAAACTCATTTAACATGATATATGTACCAAATCTGAAACTCCAATGACAACAGTTAGTTCATCCAAATACTGTACTGCTCCACTGGCCTCTTCCCCCCCAAAAAAGCGTATCAGTTGAGAAATACATTTCTCACCTTCAAAAGGAAAATATGTACCCTTACAGCCAAAGAAAGCTATACTGTAGTTCTGCATTCAGTTCTCCTATGCAAATCTGATGTTGTCTGATTTGAAGCATTTCCCTTTTATGGATATAGCTCTAATATCATCTGATAAACTGTTGGAGAGATTATTCGAAGTACGGAAAGGTCAGAAGCCTGAAAACTTCTGTGATCACACTCATAACTTTTTGCCCATCATTACAGTCCACTGACTATTTAGTTTTAACTATTGACATATTCTAGTAACATTCTTCTATGGTAGCCAACATACCCCTGCAGATACAGTCATATCACATAAAATAATTACAGTACTGTTTTTTTCTTCAGTACTTCAGATGTTGATTAAAAAAAATCTTACCTTGATGTACTTTAAAGTAAATGTTATTTTCTCAAGCTCGTAGAGTGTAGGTGGATTTGAATTAATTGCAACAGCAATAACTGATGAGCTTACTGTCTCTTTTGGCTCTGAACTATCTTTCGATGAAGAGTTGTTAGATGATGAAAGCAAAGAACCAATATTGCTATACCGCAGAAACACAACTGCAACAGTGCCTATCAATCAAACAGACTGTGGTTAGTAGTTTGTGGGTTTTTTTTATAGTAGAACAAAATTGAAGACATTAAGGAAACAATAAACAATAGACATTATTACTGCTCTTGCATAAAATATGCAAAACAGATGGAAACTTTATGGAATACTTATAAAAATGTTTTAGAGACCATGAAATATAGCCTTATTTAAAACAATGTAATGTCCATTGGAATTAAAAATGTGTGTATATACTGGATGTTCTAATAGGATAGATGCACATTTTTTCTAAAGCTGTGCACACTTGCAGCAATATTACTTCCAGCTGCTGGTCAGGTGTCAGATCTTGTAAGATAAACAAGGCTAATACCACTGATGAAATCCTGGCCGCATTTTTAAATCAACAGGAGTCTGGCCATTGATTTTATTGCACCCAGAATTTCATGCCCAGTCTGTAACTGGATAGGAGACATGAAGCAAAACAAAACAGAGCAGAAACCCACAGCAATACATAGGATGCTTCCTCTTGAGTCAGTGTTGATACCATGCCCTTTTGTGGTGTTTAGGAGCATGCTTTTGATTAGCTGTCTACACAGGTTAAAACTGAAAAAGAGCTGGGGCAACAGATTTGGGGCATTAGTTCTGATGTTCTTGCAAAATTCTAATTTCCCATTACTATTCATATTTCAGACACACCATAAGGTCCCAACTAAGATCAGAACCCCATTATGCTAAGTGCTGTTCAAACACATAACCTTACTATGTCTAGACTACAAAGAAAAGTCGGGAAAAGATATGAAAATTGCAAACTGCGGTTTGTGTATCTTTTTCTACTTTTCTTTTGAAAGAGGCTTTTCCAAAATTTGGCACATCTACACGGCGCCAAATTTCTGAAAAACCTGCCCTTTCAAGCCATCCTTTCTTTGTAAAACAAGATTTCCAGGGATGGTGAAAGAACACGTACACTTTTCCAAATTTTTTTTGGAAAAGTGCATTGCTTTTCCGGGATACCAGAGGTATCCTGGAAAAGCACTGCAGTCTAGATGTAGCCTAAGAGACAGTCCCTGCCCCACTGAGCTTACAAATTAAATGGACAAGCTACAATAGTGACAGGGGCATGGAGAATTGTGAAGCGACTTGCCCCAGGTCACCCTGTAGATCTAAGGTTCAGCCAGAGTTAGAATCCAGGTTTTTTAAATCCCCGAAGATAGTGTACTATTCATTACCCCACACCCGTGGTTCTCAAACTTTCTTACGCTGTGACCCTCTTCTGACTGCAAAAATTACTACAACCAGAACACTGCATCCCAGGCTTAAGGTGAAGCCTGAGCCCCACCACCCAGAGCTGAAGACCTTGGACTTCGACTTCAGTCCCAGACCCCAGCAAGTCTAACGCTAGCCCTGGCAACTCCATTAAAATGGGGTTGTAGCTCATTTTGGGGACCTGACCCACAGTTTGAGAACTGCTGCATTATGCTATCTCCCCCAGATATTACGCCTGCCAAAATCTCCACTTTGTTTTAGCAGGGCATTTTTTTTCTCTACAGACTGTCCTAAAGTGTTATACAGTGGTGATATATGCTATTACACAGCTGTTGTGTTTCAATCTAGTATGATCGTTAGTATTTTAGTACATTTAAAACATACTGTAATAAAACATACACAATTTTAATGGTGGCCTGTAGCTATATAAAAACTGGCAAAAAATCAGATGCGTAATTTTCCTGTGGTGCATTTCACCAGCAGAAGCAATGGTGGAATCTGCAACACAGACAGAACAGAGGGCTAGACAACATGGTGCAACAAATGCTGTCTTCTACTGCTATCAATGTCACACCTACACATTGCATTTGATTTTTGCCAGTGATTAGCTACCAGGAATGTTGCTTTAACTAAGCTATTGTTTAATGGCTTTTTCTTACCATTAGAATTAGATGCTTCCTTTTTCTTTGGAGATATCTTTATATAATCTCCTTCCATGTGTGCATGAGGGTGAATGTGTTTCATGTGGTATAAATCAAAAGCAAAAACCTTGAGAGCTGTAAAAAGAAAAACACTATGCAAATCACTTCCATTACAGTCTAACATAATTTACAGTTAGGTTAATAAATGTGACATTGGATTGCATAATTATTGTGAATTTTAAAAATACACTATTGTGCCAAATATTTCAAGGAGAAATGCTATTAATATGGTACATGTTTGCTTTAAACCTCTAGACTTTGTTATTCTAATGCATGCATTTTTTCTCTCATACCTTTTATTCTTTCCATGAAAAATATGTTCTTTTATTTACTTTGCATTAAATTAGGCACTGGGAAGAATAATGTAGGTTACTTTAGGAAGAGCTATTGCTTTATTAAAAATTCATTTCTGAAAGGGACCACAAATCACAATTATAAAAAGCAAAGGATAAAATCCTCCATTAAATAATAACATTTGAAAAGTGGATATCTCACAGTTATCAGTCCATGGTACAAAATGCACATTGCACCATGATGTAATGATGTATGCTGTCAACAAACAAAACAAAACCAATCATCACCCCTCAGGACAAAAACTACATTAGAGGACATTGAGCTCTTGACTCAGTTCATTATAGTTCAGAGTTTCAATCAAACACAACGGGGAGAAAAAGTCAATCAGGCTTAAAGAAAAAAAAATCTAAAACTTGACTGACGGGTTAGAATCACTAAACTAGACCATCTGTATTGCTTATACTGCAGCACACAAAACAATATGAGCTCTTCAATAGACCAGCTGTCAGAAAAATGTTTGTCAGTACTTAAGAAATAGTTCTTCATGGCTGAAGTTTTGGGTAGCCTGCAGTTAAGGAAGCTGAACCCTGCAATGCAATAAAGAATGACACAACATTGTGGACCTTGTCTCAAAGATAAGTGTGTTGGAAACACATTGGCATTGTGGGTAAGATGTTGATAGTGCTGAGTGCTGGAAAAAACTTAAAAATGTTTAGAGCTTGGGTTCAATTTGACTAAGAGCCCATAAGTTCAGATTCTCAAACAAAACTTTGCCAGAAAATGACTGAACTTTTCAAGCCTCTCCATTAGGTCCTTGCATTAGCATCTGCTCTCTTTACGGTGTAGCCAAGTAAAGCACTCACACAACTAGTGTAAACCCACACAAATGAGTCCATCTGCATTACAGATTACAAATGCAACAGGCTCCCTGACTTATGAAACAGGAAGAACCACTGTGTGTGAAATCTCTCCTTCACTTCATCTCACAACAGCTAATCTCCCTGAAATGAAGGACGGATATGTTCTTCCTTAGGAACTGAGGGAGGCTTTTTTTTTTAGCATCATGGTGCATTTTGGGGGGCTATCTGTAAAGTGGGAAATTGATGTGACCAGAGGAGGTAATACTGGATTTTACTGCAGGGTCAATCAGAGGACATTTGACTTACTCTGGAAGAAGGAAAGCAGGATGGCAGGTCACAACCAAGAAAGGGAAACAGTTTAGTTTGAGGAAAGGAGTCTCAAAAGTGCTCAGTACCAGAATTACTCTGTTCTCACTGACGTCTATAGAACCACTGGATGACTTCAGTGAGAGTAAACAGGCCAAAGCTGAGAACTTTTGAAAATCCCACTTTTAGGGTATGTCTACACTGCAAATATTACTATTGTGTTCTTTCGACAGAAAGTTGAAAGAACAGAGGGGTTTTTCCGACAGCGGTAAACCTCTTTCTATGAAGAACAATCCTTTCTCTGAAAAAGCTTTTTTGGAAAAAGGTGTGTGTGGATGCGGAAGAGAGTGTTTTTTTGAAAGAAGAGGCCTCCAGGAAAAAGAACTGGTGCCCTGGTGGCCACTCTGTCCACAGTAATCACAACTGAAATGTAAGATAGCATCCACATTGATTGGACGCTATCTTTTGAAAAAGCAGATCGCTTTTTTGTTGTGCTTTTGCTGTGTAGATGCTCTCAACAGAAGTTTTTTCAGAAGATGTCTTCTGGAAAAGCTTTTTCTGAAAGGAGCCTGCAGTCTAGGTGTAGCATTTCTGTCTTCCTAAGACAATAGTACAGAAGAGAAGCAGCTTATGTATGGAGGAAACAAAACTAGTCAGGATGGGTAGGAATTGTGTCCCTAGCCTCTGTTTGTCAAAGGCTGGCAAGGGATGACGGAAGAGGGATAACTTGATGATTACCAGTTCTATTCACTGTCTCTGGGGCATCTGGCATTGGCCACTGCTGAAAGACAGGATATTAGGCTAGATGGACCTTTGATCTGACCCAGTATGACTGTTCTTATGTTATTACGTTATGTTCTTATGAAAGAAGCCAATGAGAGCCAAATGAGAGCCAAATTGGAACTTCCATGATATCCTTATCTGAGCATTCCTGGATAGCTGCGCCCAGGACCACTGATGGGGGCAGAGGAGGAAACTACTCCAGGAACAAATGATTCATAGTTGCAGCTATGAAGCCCACTACCCTTTAAATCACCATCGGGGCCCTGGGCAGTGCAGTCTGAGTGGTGCTCAGGGCTCGCGGAGTGGGTGCGGTCTGGGAGTAACTGAGGGCTGGCTGTCCCCACCCCACCTTTCTGGGCATGCCCCTTCCACTTGAGACCCTGCCTCTTTTAGGAATGCAGAGCTCCCCCCGCATATGGCCTAGGAGCTGGACAATTCTGTTGGCCCCCATTATTGTGCCATCCCCAACACAGGGCTGGGCCTTTGAGGCACAGACTAGTTAAAAGTTTGCTTACATTGCTTTTAGGGAATCGAAAATAAAACAAAACGTGGAGCATAGAGTTCTGTTAGCAGCTCTGATTTTCGTTCCATTGGTGTTTTTTATAATCTGTTCCAAAGCACAATGATTTGCTGAAGGCAGTGTGATGCCTGACTCTTTGGTCATTAGTGAAGGTTGAACTGGGACACGTTCAGAGCTGAAAGCATAACCTGCTGAATCATCCCTCTAGGAGCCAAGCTAAATCCTGAGCTTGTGCACAGTGGCTTACCCTGAGTGAAGTCACTACAGCTAGCTGATTTACATCAGCAGTGTGTCTGTCCCAAAAACTGTAGACATTGGTTGGCTGCTTTTTTTAAAGCAAAACTTATACATACCAAAATCAGTGGGTTTCATTTAACACTACGACTAAGCTCAATAATTTATACTGAAAAAACTTCACATTGTAATTGACATCTAAAGTATCACTTACATTCATTTTCTTTTTCTTACCCATTTCACTTGCATTAACATCTAGCTGTGTTGTCTTTTTGAAGTTCTGTGACATGAGCAGCGTTGCCTGTTCTGCAGCATGCATCAATTTAGTGATACTTGTTCTTCTGATTTCTGTAGGGAGGGCTTCCCAAAGTGTAATTTTATCCTTTTGAACAAAATTGCTCACGGTGTTAACAAACACCTGTCAGTATAAAAATATTTTTAAGCACCAAAGCCTTATGCTATTAATAAAAGAAAAAAATGCAACAGTAAGGCTCATGCCACTTACATTAATGGTCACATTAGTAAGTGCTTCCTTGTCAGAAATTGTGTTATTGGTGGTACTTAGAGATGGGTAAGATACAGATAATGCTTCTATATATGAAATCATATCTACAGGTGAAAGTTGTCCTGAAGAGTTCCTCCTGATTTCTTGCAGGAAAGCCAAGGGTTCTTTTATAGTCCTAATCTGAAAGAAACAGGAAATCAGTATATTTAGGAGAGTCCACTGGCAATTCAACCAGCAAAGCCACAGATGCTGGCTTTTTGGGAATATGACAGAATTGCACAAATATGAGGAAACATATTTCTGTGAATTAGTGAATAAGGGCCAGCTTCTACACACAAATAAGAGCACAGCAGGTCAATGGTATACTTATGGAGCTACTCCAATTGAGTGGGCATGCCAGAATTTCACCAGGTGGATAGACATCATAAAAGGAGAATACATAACCAGCATATCTTCTTAATTTATTTTGACCAGTACAACTCAGTTTTATTTAGCATAATGTTCCATAATGTACCAGAAAATATTCTGCAGCATATTTTGTAAATATAATTAAGTCCTAGTAATATGGCAAGTAATATGGCTCTCACCTAGATCCTTTTCTGTTAAATCTTCATTAAAAGGTGGAAACAGATGGCCAGTTTTTTTAAAAAAGCAGACAATAAAGCATACAGATTACGAACATTCTATTGCATACTAAAACCTCACAGCTATGGGTTGGAAATTATTAAATTGCTTCCCTACTGAAAATATTAATATAAAATAATTACATGGAAATGTTCGTAGAAAAATGTTTACATTAGTAATCAGCAGAGAATGAGATCTGGATCTCTATTAGGTGCAAGCTCGGGTTCAGATTCAATGTCCTGGGTGAATCAGAGCAGAGTTTCAGATTTTCTGGCATTAAAATTCAATGAGATTTCATCGCTAAATAGTAGAAGTGCAATGAGATCAGCCAATCTGGTGAGTTTCCTGTGATCTCCAAAGATGAATATCCCATGAGATTGTGCTCTCATGAAAACAGGTCTCTTTCCATTTTTGATATAATTCAGAATCAAAACTATGCTAAGGGTAGGTTCCGAACCATCAGCTCAAATTTGAAGCTTTCCTTTTCCTTCAAAATATAAATTCAAGGTTTTAACACAACTATAGTTTAAATATAAGTTTAAAAACAGGCAGTCATTCAGCTTTAAGTTCAGATGCTGTATTTATCCTGTCTCCTCTACTTAATTTATAGTAAGCATATTAATTCAATGTGTATCTTAAATTGTAAAGTATATCTCTTACATTAAAGACTGGGTTCTTTTAAATCTGATAATTGAGGAAAGCAGCTTGCGATAAAAAAGCAAACATGCACAGTCGTGATTCTCTTACCCAGTCAAATCAGAAACTTATAGTTTTGTGGACTTACCAGTTTATTTAATTAGCTGTTTGAAATCTTTATTTCTAGGGGAAAGACTGGTTCCCCAGTTCTTTTCACATGATATTTTGAAGAAGAGAAATATATTGGTACCCAAGTGTATTATTGTTCTATTTTATACTTTGTCACTTGCCTTCACTGCCTTGAAAAATTATTTTTCTAGGTTTCATTCAGAACAAACAAATAGCTGCACATAATTAAATGTAGAAAGGTGTAATTTCAAGAACTTGCCATTCAGAAACTGTTGAGTGATTACCATACTTCTGAATTCTAGCAACAACATGATTTAGTTCACTGGAGATACAAACAAAACAAAGCTTGCAGGCAAATTAACACTGTGATTCTAATACATAACCCATTTCAAATAAGCTGGAAGTATTAAAAAGACTTCTATATATATGCTTACATGTAACTGTATCTTCAACTATTTGTTCAAAGCACCTCAACGGATATTTTAATTGAAATAACAGTTTCAAAAAGGAAACAAAAAAATTACAGATTCATCTATAAGCCTTTGCTACTTACTTCAGTTAAGGTTCTAGTAATATTTTCAGTTATACAGTCATTATGTAATTCACACTTTGCCTTTGGAATTTCTGTAGACATTAAAAAGAAGATTACTCGATTATAGTAACAGTTCTTGCATAAGAAAACCCAAACCTTTACAGTATTTGAAATTTGTGCATTCATATGGATCATTCACAAGCATAAATTATTAGGAACTGATTTTGACCTCCCTTACTGGTTTTTCACTGGTGGAAAGTCACCAGGCCCCATTCTCTGCTGGTTTAAATGGGAGCAGCTTCATTGACTTCAGTGGAGTTTTGCCAATTTACACCAAGAGAGAATTTGGCTCATTGATTAACCGTTTGTATAAGCAAGAGAATTGGGCTTATATAGTTTAGAATATGTCAACAAAATGCCAGGCTGTGTCTTCTATATGGACAGATATATTGTACATCGCAAATACATTTCTAAGAAAAGTACATCTCAATGATAGTTTTAGAAAATACAGGTGTGAGCTCCTTGCTTCTTTTTTACGTCTGGCTGATTAATCTAACTGAAGATAAAGAGACACTAGTGGGTTTCCCAGAAGATGTAGTTCTATAATAACACATAAACCTTTATAATATCATTTACCTTGGCAGGAAGTGCCATCATTTGGCTTAAACTGTAATTTTCCTGTGGATGGTTGATAACCTTCCTTACAAGAGCAGTTATATCCCCCATCCACAATTTCACATTTCGCATGATCTCCACAGGCAACAGTTACTGCTTCAGTGCACTCATCTATATTTGCAAATATCGTGAGAAATTGAATTTTTTATTAAGTATTTAAAAACTAACACCTTGCTGCCTTGTTGATAAGTTATGCATACAGCAATTTCATATAAAATTTACACAAAATAATAATAATAGTAAAAAAAAATAGCAAAAGGCTAAAAAGGACCCAAATTTAATGACAATCACATCTACCAATTATATCACTTACGGTTTGGTGCAATAAAGCACAATATTAAAATATTCTTCTGTGAGAGACTGCTGATTTTTTTGTGCAGCTCCATGTTTGCTGAAAAACACTTGTGTTTGCACATGCACTGTATTTTTCATATTTTAAAGTGATTTGAAAAGTTAATTCAGCAATATAAAAATACTACATGATGTATGATGAAAATAATCTCAAGTCTAATTTTTCTACATATTACACTAACTAGATTATAACATCTTTTTGATTCAGTTAGAAAAGAGAGAAAACTGGTATGCACACAGCCTTTGATTTAAAATCAATGCTTTATTATTTTAGTATTTAAAAGGATGAATTTGACTGTCTGTTTAATCTAATATTTAAGTTAAGACTCTTCAAAAAGTGCTTGACTTATCTATTATATCCACATTTAGAGTTAATTTCTTTAATACTGTTGATGCCTTCCTAATTAATTTGGGTGCATAAGTAGTTGAGTAAGTTAGTTAAGTAATTCAATTGATTGGGAGCATGTGGGTCTGAGAATGAAACAGAAGAATTCTAGGAAAGAAATATGAACTGATGAATTCAGAAATGAAGGGCAAAAACTGATTTGATGGATGGGAAAGCGGGTCTTGTATTATGTTGACTGATTGGGGATAGCAACCAAAGAATTTAACTGATACATTGGGGAAAGTGAGTCTTTGAATTATACTGAATAATTGTGAGCAGTGGGCTGGGGGTCTGAGAAAATGATGTACTAGAGAACCAGGTAAATCCTGAACAGGCTGCAAAAATGAAAGACTAAAATAATAATGGATGAATTTGTAGCTGAGAAACCAATACATGTATAGATTTAGAAGAGGAGGGAATGAGAATTAAAGGATTGTGGAGGTGCAAAACAGAATTGATGATCTAGAAAAGGGGCCAAAATTAAACTCGTGAATTGGGAATTACTGAGTGCATTGGATGGCAGTTGTGGGGAGCAACTGGTGATGGGTTTGTGGGAGGGTGAAGAGATTAATGAATTGATGGGGAGGGGCTCATGCTAATAAGAAGGGTTTAAGACAGAACAAGTGAAGAATGGATGGGGGGGATTACAAAATGCTCTTTCAGAACTGAGAATGGAGTTTTCAGAGCTGCTACCATTTAGAACAGCAAGTGGATTTCTGGTGACAGTGAGTTTGTGAAGCAGAAAACATGTGAGGCAAAAAATAAGTCTGAAAAAAAAAAGGATGTACTTGGCAGAGAAAGGAGAAAGTATGGTGTGACGGGGCGTGGGACTCCGTGGCAGCGGAGCCCTTTGAGCCCCACACTCCCCAGCTTCTGGCAGAGGCAATCGACAGTGAAGACGCAGCCCTGGAGCAGTCATGTGCGGCGTGCTCTCGGGCTCTTAGTGCCGATGCACTTACAGAGATGAGTGTTGGAGCTGGCGCACGCCAACCCCTGGGCGGGACACCTGGGAAGAGAAAAGACTCTACGGCAAATAATACAAAGATTCTTTTGGCCAGGGGTGCATAGGGAGGTGCAAGATTTTTGTAATTCGTGTCTCGAGTGTCAGCTGACCCAGCCGCATGGAGGTCCGAAGGCCCCCCTTGTTCCCATGCCAGTAATAGGGGTGCCCTTTGATAGGGTGGCGATGGACCTGTTAGGTCCCTTAGAATGGACCCGGGCTGGCCACCAGTATATATTAGTGTTAGTGGACTATGCGACCCGATACCCCGAATCAGTCCCCTTTGAAAAACACCACAGCCCTGACACTAGCCACCGAACTGGTGAAGATCTTTGCGAGGGTGGGGATTCCGAGGGAAATATTAACTGACCTAGGGACTGTGTCTTCTAAACTAATGGCCGAGTTGTGCAGATTATTGCGTATTAAGACCTTACGCACCTCTGTATACCATCCACAAACAGACGGATTTGTTGGAGCAGTTTAATCGTACGCTTAAGAACATGCTCTGCCGGTTCACAAAGGAGGACCCCCAGGAATGGGATAAGTTATTACCGGCCCTATTATTTGCAGTGCGAGAAGTACCCCAGTCCTTGACGGGGTTCTCCCCGTTCGAGCTCCAGTATGGGTGGCAACTGAGGGGTATCCTAGTCCTAATTAGGGAAGCATGGGAAGAACAAGAATCCCGGGTGCAAGGAATGGTACCTTACCTCCTACACCTATGTGAGAAGTTGCAACAGCTAGGGGACTTTGCTAAGGCTAATCTGATGCAGGCTCAGGACAAACAAGCTTTCTCTTATAACCAGGAAGCCAAACTGAGGGAATTCAAGCTGGTAGCTAGGATACTCCTCCTGTTACCCACGAGTGAATCTAAGCTGTTAGTGAAGTAGCAGGGATCATTCTAAAAATAGGAATGGTGGACTATGAAGTATGTCTGGTAGGCAAGTAGTGAGGCATGCAGGTGTATCACATCAATTTACTAAAAATGTGGAACCCAAAGGAAAGCCTGCTAATAGACCCTCTCCCACAGCCCACAGACCTAGGACCCTGGGCCGGGGACATGGGGGAAGCCCGAGCCGTAGAGGTCGGGGAAGACCTCATGCTGGCCCAGCTAGATGAAGTACAAGAGATTCTCCGAAGTTATAGCTCAGTGTTGAGTGCAGTCCTTGGGCATACTAGGGTCCTAAGTCATCATATCGCTACTACTCCGGGGCATAAGGTACGGGAGCTGGTGCGCGCATTAACAAGGAAGATGTGGGAGATGGTGAGGGAAGAGGTATAGAATATGCTACTGCTGGGGGTAACTGAGGAGTCGCATAGTGCCTGGCACAGTTTGATAGTGTTAGTCCCAAAACCAAATGGATCAGTGCGATTCTGTATAGATTTCCAGAAAGTTAACTCCATCTCCCGGTTTGATACCTATCCCATGCCCTGGGTGGATGAACTCTTAGAGAGGCTAGGCTGAGCCCAATATATCTCCACCTTAGCCTTAACAAAGGGGTACTGGGAGATCTCCTTTACCCCTGCCCCCACTACAGGAGATTTATACCAAATTTTGTATCCCTTGCAGTTCCCTTGACAGATCTGACTAGGGGGAACCAGCCTAAGCAGGTGCCATGGAATGAGCAATGCAAATGGGCATTTCAGCAGCTGAAGTCGAGTCTGATGCAGGCTCCGGTGTTGGCGCAACTGGATTTTCAAAGGAATTTATCTTGCAGACCGACACCTCGGCAGTGGGGCTGGAGACTATCCTCACACAAGATATCAAGGGGAAGGAGCACCTGATACTATATCTTATCCAGAAACTCTTCCCCCAGGAACAAGCCTATATCACGATAGAAAAAGAAGCACTGGCTGCGAAATGAGAAATAGAGACCCTGAGGTAATACCTGCTCAGGAACCCATTTAAGCTCATGATGGATCATGCACCTCTGCACTGGATACAGTCAATGAAGGAATCGAATCCGCGCATAATGAGGTGGTATCTGGCCTTACAGCCATACCAGTTTGAAGTACAGC